TCGACTTTTTCTTGACCGCAAAACAAGCCGTGACGTACGCTGCTTCCGGAACCGGAAGTTCTCTCGGCAGTTGGAGATGGGAGCGTTAGCGGCGACGAGTTGGGGTGTGCCGGTAGGTTTTACTGCGCCGATGTCACCGACGTATTTTCTGAATCGGCGCCTCTCATCGCCGCATCGCAGCTGAGCGAAATTCAATGAGATACGTTGCGCTGCAGCGACAGCATGGGACTAGTCCCATACGCCGTTATGCCTGTTGGGAAGTGCAGCGAGTCTTCCGGTGAAGACTCCAGAAGTTAACCAAACTGTCATTGTTGGTAAAAGGCGGCCAGTGTCAGTCGTTTGCGAAGCGACGTAGATGGAAACAAATTGCCGCGGCGTTTTTCGCGGTCTCGGAGATGCAGGAGCGAGCCGACGTTAAAAAAGATACGTTTGAACTACGAGTGTCAGCAAGAGCCACGTAAATACCTGTTGACACTCGGAGCGGACGCGCGCGTTTGATGGAAGTGCTGTATTCGCGCTGTTGGTAAGCGCTTCGGGACCGATCTTTTACGATTGCAACTCGATACTGACGCGACACTCGGCAAAGAAAGGTTGGACCCACGAACTGTTACAGCTCGACAGTGACGTGCAGTCTGTCAGAATAAAAATGGCATACCAATAACAAAGTGTACATACCGTGTTACGAAGGTAATCCATACAGCGTTTATTTCAGCTCTATATCACACAAAACAAGAAGAGAGAATTGACGAGGGTCCCTTTTCGACGAGTGTTCGTCAACCCTGCCTCGGAAAACAAGGGGAAGAGATTGACCTCACGGCTTAACCTAAAATTGAGGTCAGCGATCAAACTATAATACGGGAAGGGTCCACAAGGGTAGCGCGGGCATATTCCATTCAGCACGCCAGCCGGTCGTAGGCGGACAGACGGTCTTGCGACGAAGCAACGCGGCGCCGAGTCGGAGTGCCTGCTAGGCCTATATATCCTGAGAGCTTCGTAGGAGCGGGATTCGCGGCTGTTGTCGCTCTTCTCGGGTGTTTGTGGATCCAGCGTTCTTGTTCGTCGTGGTCTGTTTTAAGTACATTTTTTTCTTGCTGCTTGAAGTCGGCACGCGCGAGATGAAGACGTAGAAAAATAAACGTTCAGTCAGAGTTCTGAGAGGAAGGAAACCAAAGGAAATCACCGTTCTGAACTCGGCCCTGCCCTACTGCGCACGCGCAGTGGTTGCTTCGTTTACCACACGATAGATGGCGCTTGGCTCTCAGCATTATCAAATTTGGCAATTTTCGCCACACATCTCTAATTATGCTACAAAATGTGGATCTGAATATTATTTAACAAAACTTTTAGGAAACATTCGCCGGCTATTTATTGTTTACGATCGCGGTGCTGGTGAGGTAGGCTCTTACCCAATAGGCGACCTGGATTTGGCTGACGTGCTCCATTTCCGCGGATGCATCGTAGTGAACAGGCGTAGGAAGGAAGGCGCAAAAGAGTCCAGTTTTCTTTTAAAAGTTCTATAGCAAATAATTTTTTTTGGCTCCCTAGTTTTGTGTTTTTGTCTTTCTTTTCACACCTTTTACGACGTGCGGTGGATGAAATTCGATTTTAAAATCATTTCATGGTCCCTTTAACGAAGAACGTCTTTGCTTCCGCGGCTGAAGTAAGAACTTGTGGGTGTGGTGCCTTGACTTTTCTCTTCTAAACATCAAGGTTAATTTAAAATCCGAAATGGTACATTGCGCCGTTATCATTTTTTTTTTTTTTTTTTTTACATCTCGGGGAAATAGCACTCTTTTCAGAACCACCCATTTTCCTCCAGTCGGTCACCTTACACCTCTTATGCGGTTTTTATTACCACAGTTTCTACTTTCAGTTTATTCTTTTTGTGTGTGTGTGTGTGTGTGTTCAAATTATTGTATGAATGAACGAAACCGATTAATTAACCGATTAAAGGGTGTCGATCAATCGGGTTAATATTTTTAATCTACGTCCAGCTCTAACTGCAGTTACTTCGACACATAAACACGTTATTTGTGGTATTTCTCTTGCCGTTACATTTTCGGTCGGACCACTCGGTGGTAATTGGCTACATCTACAGTAACCGCCCGTTAACCCTAGTTCACGCACAAAAAAAGGTTACATATAGAGTAACGAGAAAATAACGCGTTATATTCAAACCGGGGTGACGCGTTCCCTTTTGAATTGCAGTAACAGGTACACTTGGTTACCTTTTAAATGAGCAGCGAGTAATGGGTATTTAGTTACTGTGTTTCAGAAGCGGGTACATGTGCGACCCGGTCGCGGGATATGTCATTCCTGTGTCTGTCCTGCGCGTCGCCCGAAGAATCAGTCATCGGAAGGCTGGAAACCAAGCTGGGCCAGTGAACGGAACTGAAGTTCACCCGGTGTCACATGTCCTTCTCCGTAGATAAAAGCTATATAATTTGGGTCGTCGCTTAAGTCCCACTAGAGAGACAAACAGAATACAACCGACACCGACCAGCTTCAAACAGCTGCAGCACGTACGGGAAGGTAACTTCAAAATGGCGATTTGGGCTAGTTGGTTAGTTGTCTATTTCAAAGCGCCGAAACCGCACAATATGACAACAAGAGAGAAGACGAAAACAGAAAAAAGAGCGAACATAAGCAATCGCGATTATGCTGCAGAATTCAACGATCCTCGGACGGCTAGAGTTTCTTGTAACAGGAAACACCGTAACGGGTTCACAAAATGCGCCTGAAATTCCCATGTCATGCGGCACGTCGCACGTCGGCCAAACGGGCAGATGTTTTCATGATCGAGCAAGTTGGCTTTGGCAGCCAGCCAGGCGACTGTCGACCGGCGAAGCCCAACCACGCGACCCCGAGTTCCCGGCTGCCACGCCGAGCCCGGGTTCGGCGGCGCGATCCGTGCGGGCAGGAAACGAAGCGGCGCGTTTTCTCTTTTTCGTCCGCGGCGACTCAAACTGGTTTCCGTCTCCTCGCGACGGCCTTGGCTTTTAATCCCTTCTTGGTTGGCGGCCGTTCGTTTCCTTCGACGGCGCTCGTGGGAAACTCCCCCTGCACTCAGCCCGAGCGAGTGCCGGTGTGCGAGACCGGACAACAGCCGACGCCGGCTGGGCCTCGAGACCTGCAGCTCGTTCGCGTTCACCGTTTCCCACCGCGGCCGCTGTCCACAGGGAACTGCCGTCAAATACACCGCGAGCGGACTGTCTCGCGTGCCGCTTATTGTTTCGTGTTCCTCTCCTTCGGCCATCGAGGGCGGCGAGGACGCCCCCCTCTCGTTTCTCGCCCGCCCGTGTTTACCGTTCTCCCTTCGGCACGCAGCTCCACGCAGCACGGGCGGTATCGCTCGCGGGCGCGGCAGCTGATGGTTTACCGCGTGCTAAAAAGTGGTTCCTCGATTTCCGCTTGATGACGTCGTAGAAGTATCGCGCTGCCGCCTGCCGCGAACCTGACGATGTCACAGCAGCGGTGATGAACATGGCGGACGCCTGTTAAGCTACAAGTCGCTCATCCGAGTTTGACAGTACACGGAAGATTTGGCAGCCAGGAGTTGAGACGCCGCGACGACAGCGACACTCGCGTTCGCTCGTGTTTTCTTGTTTTTGTTTTCCCGGAACTTCTGCGCCTCACCGCAAGGAGCGTGACATCCGGCAGCGTGACACTTCGGTTTCTGTGACGTCATTTGTTGCCACTTTGGGACCACTTAAGATGTGTGGGCGGGATAGGACGCTAAACACACCAGTCGAAGACACGTTCCAGGCACCGCCCGGACCGAGCCGACGGGGCAGTGTGCCACCACCGCCCGTCTGCCGGCGGTCGCCGTGTTTCAACGTGGTCGAGGAACTGCTTCCATTTGTCGGATGCCGTCACACGCGCTCCGGGGACGCCCTCCCCCCGATGACTTCATCCCCGGTGAATGCGTCTCCGTCACCAGGGTCCGGCTGGGAAATCCAGAGGCGGGCTTGCCCACTTCCAGCTCCCGCCGGGTTCGCCAAGGCCGAGGGTGACATTTCGAGCACTCGTGCCCGGTGGTTCAAGCCCGGTGCTGGAGCGACGGGACAGAACGACGGCGACCCGATGCAAATGCCAGTTCCACGGCTCAGACGTGGAACTGGCATTTGTGACAGGGACGTCAGAACCACGCCGATTTCCGATTGGCTGTGATTGGAAGGATAGTGTGTAGATCTCAAATCCTAAATACCTCGAGGTCTACTATATATATAAATATATATATATATATATATATATATATATATATTTTCAATCAGCCAATAAGAGCTAAGCGTTCTGACATCAACGCAACCTCTGTGCAAGAAGCAGACGAACTTGCGCTCCGTATAGCCGAACGCTACCATCGAGCGAGACAGTCGTGCTGTTGATATCGCAATTCGTTAATTCGTACAATTTGAATGAAAAAAAAAAATATATATAGCATTAGTATTAGGTTGTGGGTCGAGTATTTCTGTCCTCACAACCAAGAACTAGTTCACCGGAGTTCTACTTCCGCACTGTGCTGCCACAGAGGAGGCAAGCTATCGACCGGCCGCTTGTGGGTCCCGGGAGCCGAAGTAGAGCCACGGTTCCTACGCCCACGGATTCTCGCGAGCCGAGTTTGAAGAAGCATCGCCAGTGTGCGGCGATCAATTCACGGAACAAGCGATTTGTACACACCCCACCAACACCTCAAGACTGAATCCCATTCTCGCCCCCCCCCCCCCCCCTTCCCCTCCCCTTCAGTTGTCTACACAAAGGACACAAACACTGCGTCGAAGCCCCTCCCAAAAATGGTTGTAAACCCCCCTCCCCTCTTCCCCCCGATTGACAGTTCTGGGTGAACCCCGCATGGAAGACCAATCATTTCTGGCAGGCATCCAGTCACTCGCGGATGGCGACGGATGACCAGCCCAACCGCGTCCGAAGTCGACGTCCCGGACTGCCCGACGGCAGACCCGACGCCGGGCGTCGTCCCCAGAGCCCAAGAGCCTCGCACTCACCTCCGGGCAGCAGCAGCAGGAGCAGAGTCAGGGCCGCGAGGGCGGCTCGGTGGGAAGCCATGGGTCCGAGCCTCGCTGGAGCCCCTTCGCAAGGGCACGCACCACGCGAATCCGGCGACGGCACCGTGCACCGATCGTCGGCAATCCCGGAGCACAAGCACGCAAAAGCGAGAAGAAGACCGGGGCGGACGTGCCTGCACGTGTCCCCGACTGCGACTGGTGCTGCGGAGGCCGCCCGGTGAATGGCGGCACCGGTGGGGGGAAGAAGACAGCTCCTCCCACGTCGCCCTCTCCTCCGGTGCGAGAAAAGTTTCCGGTTTACCTTTCTCCGTTCTTCGCGGCCGAGAGGAGGGCAGGAGGGGGCCATCATTCATGCCCCCGCGCGGGGGGGAGCTCTGCCTGCACGCACCGCCCGCAATCTACTCTTCTCAAGGGGGGCCCGAGCTGCGCCCCGCAGGCCTCGCGGACGGGACCGTCGCCGGTTTGCCGCACCCCCCGAACACCCCCCTCGGCCCGCGCCACGGGGTCGGACAGGTCTGAACAGGCGCGCGTATCACTCTACCCGAGTGCCTGTCGATTCCCCCAGGAATGACTCTACGAGCAGACGGTGCAAACGAAGCTGGTGCAGCTTCTATGGTGCAGTTGCAGGAAAGGACAAAGCAGATGTTTTCCAGCCTTTCATCGAATCGCCCCATTTAGAAAGACTTCTGTCAACTGACGCTCCTGTCCAGTGTGCGCAGTTTACGGGGAAAGGGGAATGGGAACAGGGGCAGCTTCCCTCGTAAATCGACCGACGCTGTACGTTCGTATAAACGTGACCCTAGACCGCGCTGACTGGTTCACCGTGTGATTGGGAAGGGCGCGCGGCAATTTCTTTAATGCGGCTCGCGGTACGAGTACGACGCAGTTCATTTTCCCCCGCTCCGTCCCGGTGAGGAGACGATAAGTCTCAGCGAACGTTTGCGTGCCTTTGCTGCGACCGCCCTGTCTGTGGTCATCTCGTTCTTTTCAGATGCACCGACGTCTGCCCCGAAGGAGGAGGCAAACCTGCGGAGGTACAAGGGAATACCCGGCGCTTACTCCACAAGCTTTTACGAACACTCGGCCGGGGGCACACACGCCAACTTTGGTTGGCTTAGCTAAATACGTTTGGCCTAGCGCACATGAAGGCTCCCTAGTTTGGCCGATTCACGCGCTATTCTTTAACAGACTTCCCACACCTGCTTACCCGACAAATGGAAGCCAATCTGGGGGTCGGCTGAAGGCTAGAGCGGGAATCACTGAGGCGTGCTCCCCTCTCCTACCATCCCCTCCCACTGTAAACCAGGGAGCTGTGACGGCCATGAAAATGCGTCCACAAAAATGCGCCGAGAAACCACACGCGCGTGGAGTAAATATGTAAGAGAAAACTTTAGAAAAAAAAAATGGGTGCGGGTATGTTTATATAGCCTTGAAGTTAGTCTGCCTTCAACGAGCGACTTGTTTCCCAGCTGTAGATGAGCAATTTAGGCACTCCCGTACTACCGTTAGCCTGGGGTCTTTAACGTGCACCACGCAGTAGTGGTACAGAACCGCACGCCGATACGATGCTCATCGGAGTCATCCAGATCGAAACGGGCAGGAATGGGGATTGAGCCCATGATCCTGGGTTCTGCAGCGCGAGCTTTCGCTCCATTTGCTCCGAGCTGGTGCGCGCTAGACCACTCGGCTACCTCTCTCTCTCCCCCCCCCCCCCCCCCCCCCCCCCCACACACACACACACCAAAAAGAAAAAAAAATCTTTACGCAAAGTGTGCTGCGATTGACAGCGGCAGCTGCTGCGTTGTGGAAAGCATGTTGAAGAAAGTTTGCCTTCAGCCAGTATGCTGTACAATGTTTGCAGTGTGCTTTGGTGGAACGATTGTGCGAGATGTTGCATATGTTAAAAAAAACACACAAACACGTTTGTTTGTTTGTTTTAACCGAAACGCGTTTAGAACTGTGGCGTCCGTGTCCGCGCCTGCTGTGAAAGAAGCGAAAAGACGTGCGCGAGCTGTTCTGTAGAGGCACGGAGAGCACGCGAGAACGGAACCTGGGCGGGGGCAGTGGGGTGGCGAGGGAGCGTGTCCGCACACTGCAACCGTCGGCATCGGTATTCCGCAACGGCGGCCGCCGGAGGAGTGTGGGAGAAAGGGAGAGCGTCTCCGCGAGCAAGAACAGCGGCAGCCTGCAGGGGGAACGGGGAGAGGGAGAGCAGTGCTTCTGCTGTAGAGTGGGGTTTGGCGTTCGTACATGATAATTTTTGACGTAGAACTACGTCTTTCTCCGCGCTCGGAAGGGAATGCAAAGCTGGGAGGTCGATGTCACGAAAACTTGGTCACGGAAGTAACGTCACACAGACAACACCATCGAGAACCGCGCAATGTGCACGCGCGTCCTTGTGTGCTGACTTGCTTGTTTGCTCGCTGAAAGGGATACTGAACCAAACATTTCAAAGCCCACTATAACCGCTCATTCACACTGAAAGCGGATCCGCGTTCGCAAAGCGGTTGCGAACGCAGTTGTATAAAGACCCAGTGCAATTGTACTGGATCTTTATACAACCGCGTTCGCAACCGCTTTGAGAACGCGGATCCGCTTCCAGTGTGAATGAGCGGTAAGTGGCGCACGATCTTTCCACGAGCCAGCAGCCGCCGGTGAAATGTATGGGCTGCGGGCAAAAGGAGAATAAAGACAGGCTTTTCGTGCTCATGAAGTCCTCCCTGACGTCTCCGTTCTTGGCGAGCCAATATAAATTCGCTGATGATAGGTAGCTTTGCAGAGACGTTTCTTGCATACCGAGATTTTGCTAGCTACGCACCGGCGGTAACATGCGTACATCTTTGCACCGCCACCACATGCGGTGTCGGTGGTTGGAGGCATTGATAAATAATTTTCTTGTCTTCCGATACGGAAGAGGAACAATATCATTGTAAGAGATCCGTGGAGATGGGCGTGATTGATAAGTTGATTGCATACACAGTGCCAAAGACGCTTATATTGGCGAGGAACGATTCCAGTACGATGATGCTCCATGGTGATTTTGGCGCGACTTGTTTAGAACGACTCACTGGAAGACCGAAATGGCGGGTGCTATGGCAACGGGCACCGGTCGGATAATCACCTTGCGAGGCTTTGGTCGTCTGTATCTGTTTGTGCCCGGCTAGCGGGCAGAAAAGACAATGACGCTACTTTTCGATGCTGTTGCTGACTGCAATCTAATCATTCTGTTGCACATTTGAAAGAAACTGAGAAAACCCGGCCTTGCGATATTTACTTTTTTTAAGTTTGCTCCGTCATTTATGACACATGCATACACACGCAAACAAAACAAAAACAAATGTCGTTACCTTTTTTTTACTTTTGAGGAAATACAGCTGAACTGAACTAAGGGAAATATCCTGGAGGATAGAGCGCAGCTCATGATTAAAGAATGTCTATTTGTACACCTCCGGAAAACCTGCCCCGCGTCGTTATGACTGTGTCGAAGATGACAGCATGCCGATGACTGGGTGCTTCGCTAATATGCCGGTACAACGTTCGCCTTTATCGCTTCCGTCTTCTGCAAAGTAGGTGCGCCAATACGTATCGCTTCTCTATTCCTTCCGGTGACGTAAGGCCATAAACGTGGACTCCCTGCGGTTCCAAAACCTTTCTGAAAAAGTATGTTTTTATTTGAACTGATTAATTTGGTTAAAACAAATCAGAAACAAACGTATTGCATTTTTTTAACTTTTTTTTATCAACTATTTTTTTTTTTCAAAATAATTACAAACGGGAGGTTTATAATTACTTTGTAGCGTTCGTTGATTATTTGTTTTGTTGTTGTTCATTGATATTGTTTGCCATTGATAACTCGGACTTCTGCTTCCTTTCTGGGCGGGCGCCTCTCACGAGGAAGTGACGAAGCAAACGAGGCTAGCCAGGTCCTTGTTTTCTTTTTTTAACTGCCAACTAAGAAAGAATTAGAAGTGAACCACATTTCCACGCGTTCCTGGCCCTTTGTTCGCGGGAGGGTGTGTTTGGCGCGCCTGTTTGGCTGCGCCATGAGTGCGAACTGCGAGAAGTCGCTTGAGCAAACCGGGCGGCGGTGCGACCGATCGGTGCAATGAAAGGTCGACCACCAGCGTGTCCATCACCCCCAAAGCATTGATGGCATCTCTAATCTGTCAAACTAAATCTCTCTAAAAAAAAAAAAAAGAATTACGAAAGAATTGCGCTACTTTCTGAAAGTAGCGCGTAATTGAAATAGATCCTTTGTTGTGCGTCAAAACTTCTAAACTTACATCGATCCTTTTGGAACAAGTAGCTGCAATCGCAATTAAATTAAATTTCTCAAACTAGTCTAGCCAAGTATGACGTATGCTATAGGGAGGGCTGTGAGCGCCGAGTGGACGCACGTATCCCCTTCAGCATACACTTGGTTGTAACTTGACTAAGGATAAACACTGCGGCCCTCTCGAGCCATCCTGAGCGACGGAGAGAGCGACAACGGTCAATTTCGTTGCGTGTGTTCGCGCACACCGGCAGCTGCTGGCTCGTGGAAAGATCGTGCGCCACTTATTTAATATAGACACGAGTAGAGTGCGGAGTTATCGCACTCTACTCGCAGACAGCTAATTCAATACAAGCAAAGAGCGCGGCGCACTGCTTTGGGGGGTGCTTAAGATGCTCCGACGCACGTGCGCCCTTAGCTTTGACAGCATAGACACAAAATGTTGCGCCCAAATATTGTGTGCTAACTGTGGCTTCGAGTAACTGCAGTTAAGTGGGCCCGTATAACAATCATAATGCCCTTGTTACACGGGCACACTTAACTGCAGTTACTCTAGACCGCAGTTAGCGCACAATACTTGCACACAACATTCTGCGGCTATGCAGTCAAAGCTATGGGCGAACGTGCGCTTGAGCATCTTGAGCATCTATCGAAAGCTCGAAGCAGTGCACGCGCGCTCTTCACTTGTTAAGGCCCGTTCACACATTTGCGTTCGGAGCGACCACTATGCTTACGAACGAATGCAACCGCTGCGACTTCAACGACAACTGTGCGCGACGTGTACACACACATGCAACCGCATGCAACCATACGAAGCAACAGCCAATGAGAAACGAGCTTCAGCTCTTGCTCCTAGCCAATAGGAAGCGACCCAGCTACGCTTACAAACATGGTGGACGGTTTCGCGCCCGACGCGGGGTAGCGGGGTCCTCACCGGAGCAGCCCGAGGGTTCGGCTACGGCGTACAGTCACGAAGATCTGCTGTGCGCCTACAATAGCTGTGTAAAGGCT